GAGATCATTTTCACTAGAACTCAGATCTGAGTAAATGAGACCAAAGTCTGAAAATCAGAAAATTCTGAAAAAATGTTTGTCCCAAAATAGTTCTTCTACTTCTTAAGATATACTGAAAAACTTTTGCTTACCTTTCTACCATCTTGTATATTCCACCTTGAGGCACAATATCTATGCCCAGTGATCGTACAAAATAGATGGAGGGGGATTAGGCGATTTCTGCATGAAAACTCAACAAAGGATAGGTATCGATATGGAGAACTGAATTCAACAATGTTTTTCTCTTAAAACAATCATTGAAATCATTCTGTAAAAAAACATGGTATTTTATGTAATGTTGACTGATTAACAACAATTTAATCCGAAAATTATTTAGAAATATTTGATATAACTGTTTTTGTTAACATTTTTTGTTTTTTTTAGTGCAATTGTTTTTGCTCCCTTCTACCAATTCTTGAGAATGAAATAAAATGTCTTTCCGAACCTTGTTGGAACAAAATACCATATACAACATGTTTTTGGACCTCTCAATATTAAAGTTATACAAAGGAATTTTTGGTTCATTTTAAAAAAGTATTCAAAAAATTAAAACAAAATCCCCCCAAAATAGATAAAAATCCAAAAAAACTTTTATTTCATTAACAAGATACTTTTTTTAAAATGAACCAAAATGTCCTTTGTACAATTACAATATTGAGAGACCTAAACATGTTGTATTTATGTCGTTTTGTTCCAATGAGGTTCGGTAAGATGTTTCATTTCACTCTGGAAACATGATACCAAGAACAAAAAAAGTGTTTGATGTGCTTTTTAAAACAATATAGATGAAAGTATGTATATCTATTTCAAATTATATTGTTACCATTCAAAAGATGGCAATTCAATTGACAATTTGTAAGATTTTCAAAAAATGTTGATGACTGGTTTAAGAGAAACGTGTGTTCAAAAAGTTCGCCATATCGATACCCAATCTTTGGGAGATTTATTTTTTCAAGAGAAAATTTACAACTGAAATGCCAAATGAATAGTTGCAGTGCATGGCAAACTACGTTAGGTCTTCTACTTCTTTTGAACTGATACTCTTCAAAGATATGAGATCTATTAAAAAGGCGCATTATCACCAAAGTGCAAAACTCAATGTTTTTGCTATAAATCGGGCAACAATGGTATACACGGCCTGTAATAAATAGGTATAAAGGACCTTATTATTACAATACTAATGGCATTGCTCACGTTTTAAAGTTAGATTTCATGCGTTATACAAAACATAATCGAAATAAATTAATATTGGATGGAGGGAAGATTGTCTCTAAGATTGCTGATAACATTGGCTATCAGTCAGGTCTCATTTTTATGTTGAACTTGTCTTCTCACAAATATTGCTTTAACATATTCATTAATGTAGAAGTCCAACAGGACATTATCAGGTAAATAGGGGCCATTGTACAAAAAGGTTAATGTCAAGACATTCAATTTGATTTCTTTCCTTTGTGCATTGGAGTATTGACTGTGGATGTGCACTATTTTCCTATTAATCCAGGGACCTTTTTAAGCACTTATATTCTCTTTTCTTTGATTATACTTGTGACATTACAAACTTCTGATATGTATCGATGGTATCGTTATACTAAAGAGAAAACTATGGCAGCAAGAATACAATATTGAACATAACAAAAAACTGATAAGAAATACAATAATAAACACTATTTCAAATGGTTATGTTTTCGCAATTCATCACAATTTAGCGATTCCCTGGAACTGAGGCCTCATTATCCGGTCGACGCACCGCAAATCGCAATCGCAACGTAAAAATTTAGCGAATCGTACGCAAAACGATATTATGAGGTCATCTCAAAGGCACTCTAGCGCAAATTCATTGCCGTTTTGCGTCTTTAGCGCAAATCGCAGTTTTCTTATTACACGGTAGACGAATCGCTATTTTCATTTCGCATCGCAAATACACTGCTAACCGCACGCAAATTGGTATTATGCAGTCATCGCACAGTTGCGTCCACGTAAATCAGTTGATTTTTATGTCGCAAACTCCACTTTATTTGCGGCATCCCTGACCCTGCCGCAATATAAATCGCAAACATATCATCAAGAATCTTGATAGTTTTCCTATTTAAATTAACATTATCGTTGTAGAAATCTAGGAAGTGCCCTTTGAGACATCCAACTAAAAATAGGTTGAAAAACATTAGAGACACAAATAACCAAAACTTATCAAAATCAAGTCTGAAAGTCCACGATTATGCTACCTTGGTTTTTTTGAAATCTATAATAAATATCGCAATTCCATTTCGCAAATATCGTCTGCTAAAATTAAAATATTAGGGTTCGATCAAGCTGGAAAATGTGGCGCATATTATTCCAGGATGTTCACAATAGAAGAGGTTTACGCTTATTCAGAGACAGGAGTCTCCGTTAGAGATGACAGCTGACGATGAGATATTAAACAGATATCGCATGCCGAGGCCACTCATTCTTGAGTTGATTTATATATTAGATGGGGATCTAGCGTCAAGAACAAGGAATCCTCAAGCAATTCCATGTCAGCTAAAAGTATTCATTTCATTACGATTTTATGCTACAGGTTGTATGCAAATGATAAATGGAGATATATTCGGGGTATCCCAACCTACTGTTTCGAACATTGTTGCTGAGGAATCGGCGGTTTTCTCTAGGTAGGCTATATCAGTCGGACTAATTACAAAGACACCGTGTCTTGTTTTCAAGATGGGCTGCCTTCCAGTGACAGATCTAGATTTTCGCAAGATATATATATAGGTTATGTAGTGGGAGGGATTCAATATTGGTTTTGTTATGATGGACAATATGATATTTACCGAGAGCCCGGAGGGTCAGAGGGAAATACCAAATTGTCCCTCACAATATGTGAAATATCAAATTGTCATGAGGAATAAACCCATATTTAATCCCGACCAGTAAATTCGTTTTTTCCATGATATTCATAACTGTCTTCATAAAATCATTAGTTAGATTTTTCTATGAAAAAATGGTATATTTAATCAAGAAAATATGACTTAGCTTTATAATATTTTTAAATATAAAAAAATTATTGTACATGTGTAACATAAACACATCAACATCAAAACATTCAGCAATACGTAAGCATTTTTGTCTGTGTCAGAGCGATGATGATAAAACTGGAATTCGTTTTTCACATAAGAACATCATTTTAGCATGCTATATCGACCCAACTGATTGAAAGAGGAAGCTTTGTTTGGCAAAAATTTTCAATACGATTTTTTCTCAATATCAAAAATATTTCCGGTTATTCATCGGGAATTAGTAGTATCATGGGATAAATAGAGATTATCCTATATGAGGTTCAGGATATTGAACTATAGGATGATCTGTTTATCCCATACCAATCTTGGTCATTTTGTTCACGCTGTTCAATTGGCCGGAGTTCAGAAAATGTCCAACCAACCGTAAGAATTCATTTAGAATAGCCTGATTTTCAGATATTCATCCACATTTATTTCTGAAATCCTTGTTTAACAGGGATGCGCTCATTTCCTTCCTTCAAACAGATCGCGATTGTCTGCCTTTTCTCCATTAACGTTTACAGTAATTATGAGCATGTTACAAAAATGAACCAATATGCGAACGGCGATTATGACGTCAGCGGGCAGATATACTATATCTGCCCGCTCAGAGCGGGACGTATAGCTATATCTGACCGCTGATGAAAATATATAGAGGTTATTTAATGGGAGGTTTTTGATACAGGGTATATCTGAGGGAAATACAATATATCAACCCTCGGTCCCTACGGTCCCTCGGGTTGATATATTGTATTTCCCTCAGATATACCCTGTATCAAAAATCGAGCATTTAATAACTGATTTATTCTATACTTAGTAGATTGTGAGGAATAATAGCAAAGTCCCCTGGCTCAGTATCTACTCCCTGAATTTATGACGTCGTAGATCTGCTGAGCGGGAGATATATATATCTCCAGCTCACGTCACATATCAGTTATATTCCCGCATGTTATATACCTATAACACTACTAAGTATGGAATAAAAGTTTTTACAAACCAGCTTTATGTACCTATAACACGTCCAAGTATGGGATTGACACATCCGCACTGGCGTAAACATAGACATAGACATTAAAAAATCGATAAATCTATTTTGAGCTCTAAGTTTAAATTTCCCGCGTTTCCAATTTATTTGCGATTAGCATACTGTTGCGTCTGCGTTGCGTCTGCGTTTGCGTGAAGCGCGTAATACGACGCAAACCATGATTTGCGCTTGCGAATAATGTTGATTCGCAAGCGCAACGCAAATCGCAACGCTAATTTAGCGCTGACCGGATAATGAGGGCTCTGCTCTGCATACCCCTCACCACCCTAACCGTGACAACCCTAACTTCAACACATTTAGACCATATATTATAAAAGTTGGTAGATGTATTGTAATGTAGTTCCTCTTTAATCTGTAGCAATTTCATTACAAAAAACCTAAATCTCCTAAAATTAGAGTATTTGTATCTTTACTTTCCGGACACACTGTACCTTTCCATATTTATTTTTACAATATCACCTCAAACAAATATTGGGGAATTAAGTGAATTTTTGATCTTTGAGATAGATGAAAAGAATCAATCAGACATTACTCGGCTCCCACAGAACGCAGTGGAGAACTAACGTGAGAAGATGATAGCTGGTACAAACACTATGTGATGTCTCATATCAGAGCTCCAATATGGGAATTTTTGACAAGTCATGTTATCTTGAATTTCTTAGTACTCACAGAAAAATTACTTGATCTTTTTCATATTTTACAACTGGCTAATGATACTATTAGGCTACTTTTTACAAACTTGGATAATAAGAAGCCGAGATAATACTTGTCAAAAAGTAGTTCAACTTTTTGACACCCGATATATACATATAAACTTGGTTAAAACAAAAACTGTACTTTGCTCATATGTTATGACTTATGTAGCTTTTTTGTGGTTTCAGTAACGTGTCCTCCCCTAACCGACCCGGCAAATGGTAAGGTAGACGTACCATGCTATGATCCTGGTTGCATAGCAACTGTTACATGTGATGAAGGTTACAAACCAGACCCACGACATGCTTCAAAAGTGAAATGCAAACGAAATGGAAAGTGGAACAA